AAGAGCACGCTTCCCATTCTTAGCGCCGCTATATTTGCTACATTCTGCAAATCGTGTAAACTATCCCCTCTCCTTCGTTTCTCCATTGCTTAATCCAACATATCACGGAATGCAAATCACTGCGAGTGATTACTGTGGAACCAATTATATAAAAACTTTACATGTAACAATTTATAAGAACAAATAACAAATCAATTATTCGGCTCCTCTTCGGGACTTGAGAACCTTTGAAACAATCTTCTGCTCTTCAAGGAGGAATGAACGGATGATACGCTCCTTCACAGCATTAGCGAGACAGACATCCTCCATACGTGCGGGAGACAGTTCTTCTGGGTTCTTCTTCAGTCTAGTAAGCTCACGTGGACGAGCAGGAGTAATCTGAACAGTGCTGAATCATGTTCCTAATCAAGGTCTTGTGTTTGAAAGTTTGTCACAGAATACGGAGCTTTCAAGAATTGCAATGTGACCTAAAAAAAGAAGCCTAAGTAGAAGGTTTCTCATTAGGCTGATGTCAGAGTCCGCAATCCGTCGCGCTATCTGCGTGACGGAAACAGAAGTTACAAGTGCCCGATCAATACCACTCTCCAATCCCGCCGCCATTTCTGCTTGATGGTGATGGTTGAATGACGACTGTTCATGATTCTACTTGTTTCATATTCAGTGTTTCAAATGTTCAAATGGGGCACTTGCGATTTTTGCGATTCGCGCGTATCGCGCGACGGATCGCGGACTCTGATAGCAACTTTGCAACTCCAATGCTACGTGTCGGCCAGGCGCCACACCGCGTGGTGATGGACCACGTAAGCGAAGCAGCGAGCCTGGGATTTCTTGTGGGAACAAACTTATGGAGTCTAACTCAAATCCACCCTTGTTGAATGTTAGCTAGAAGACCGTGAGTGAAGCTTGATAAGAAGTTCCTAGATACATTTGCCACGAAAGCCACGATTCATCTTTGCACCGAGAGCTCAAAACTTAAACCGAGACCGTTAGCTATATGGAAAACTCCGTATTGCTAACGGTACATGAAGTACTATAACATAAATATGTATTGAAACTGAAAAACTAGGCCACGACAATTAGCCATTAATGCCTCGCGTGTTGAGCTTGGTTTAAATTTCTACTTTTTGAATGATTAGCGAAAACTGGTGAGGAAATCTGTTGGAAGACCCAATGCGCGAGGAACGCATTGTGTCTTCTGACTGATTCCAGATCAAACTCGCGCGGTAAAAGCGGTCGATAATGAAACTGTGGATGGTGAGTTGACTGCAAAAGAAACAAGCAAGGAAAACGGCCAATGAAAATTTCAAACAAGGAATCCCTCCTAAAATAAGGAGGGGTGGGGCCGGACGAGCCAGCAAGAAATGCGGCTGCAATGGCATATGCACCAATACAAACAAAGACTTATGCACCAATACACAAAATACGCTAATTAAACGATTTAAGCAAGTAAAACCAAACAAAAAGCAGGTGTCATTTCTTGAAACGCGGAACAGTTTACACGTATTGCGCAAGGACTGTTAGCCAATCACGCGATCTCATTCGCTGGCAAAAGGGTGGAAAAGTGGAAAAGACGGAGTAATGGAGTTGTCACGTGTCCGAAACCCTTCCTGCAGCTTTCCAAAGTGAGTTTTGTTCAACAATACTTCTTATGTTCGTGACTAGGGCTCACGCATTTTTTCACCCTATTAGTTCCAAAAGTATGGATCCCGCTGGAACTGTTGCCATAAAGAAAAGTTGGGTGTCATCCAGTACGGGGGGCAGCATATGATGCGAGAGTTCATGTCGACAGAAGTAAGACAATTATGCGGAGGAAGAAAGCTCCGGGATTGTAAAGGAGAAGGCGAATTGGTTCACGCTCCTGCGTTGACTTCTTCCACTACAGATTTCTGTAGGTGGCAACAACGTCCCACCACATGCTCCCATTACCGGATGACATCCGAAAACTTTCTTATTGTTGTCAACAGATTAAATGACGCTTATCGAAAAAAAAAAAGAATACAAGATCTAAGCAGCATTCTTTCAAGCCGCACAATCGCAACCTCCTGTGCCACTACTTCCAAGACACCAGAGAAGAAGTTCTTCTCAGGTGAAGCAGTCGAACTTTTACTTTTACCTCGAAGCCACGCTATCGCGGGCTGTCCGACAAAAACTGCTGCTTTGCACTCTAGACACGATCAATTTCCGCTTCACATGTTTTTTGATACCACGAATAACCTAACCTTCAATACAAGAAAATCTCTCAATAGCGTCAACACGTATCTTCATTCGTCGCGGATCTAAAAATGTAAGAAAAAAGAAGTTACGTTTAAATTGAAAGCGAAGGAAAGTGAAAAGTTTACAGCTACAGGTTTTTATGAGTTAAGTTTCCGCATACACTATACGGCCAACTGATTAAAGGAATCTTGCGCGGAAAATTCTTGCACTCTTTCCTAACATGAATATGTCAGTTGTGATCACTGGAAATAGCACACAAAGTTTCACGCATGAAGATTCGGTTTCTGAAGAGAAACAAAAACTACACGTTATGGACCATCGAAGGACCAGGAGGCAGAGCCAGGCGAGGCATGGAAAGAAGACGGCGTTTGGCCGGCTACGTACCAGGCGACGCAATGAGAGAATCGGGTTAAAGCGCGCGATTTCGGAGAGTGGAGACAAATCGATCGATGGAATAGGATGGAGTAGAAGTGTAAGATGTGAATGCAACGAAGCAGAAGGCCAGAAAGAGCTTCTAGTGAATGCACTCCAAGAACCAAGTTTGAGCATCCCCGTCGCCAGCATTCGTGAAAGACGTCCGTGGGCAATTCGAACGCGTAGCAGCCTTTTCGAGTTTTCGAATTTCTAATCAAAACGAAAGCAATACTTCAGTTCTTTTCACTATTATCGTGGATAATGAGTCTCAAGCCAGTGATTTATGGCTGAAATAGAATCATGATTTTTCCGCGCAAGATTCCTTTAACTCCTCTCTCTAGCCTCTCAGCAAAAAGCAAGTGGAAGGTTGGTGATACGTTGGTGATGCCAAGAGTACGCACGACTAGACATGAAAGCAGTTTTGAACGTCAGTTATACTGATCTAAATGATACGGCTGGAAAAGTTGTAGGTTTGAGTAATCAAGAAGTAAGCACATGTACGACTGTTTTTGCAAAGAAATGACATTACGACACATGACTTCATATGGCTGGTGTCAGAGTCCGCGATCCGTTCTTCGCGATGCGCGCGATTTTTCGCGATTTTTCGCGATTTTCGCGAAACCTGCGATGGATCACAGGAGTTGGAAGTGCCCGATGAATACTGCGAGGTGTTGTTTAATCCTGCTGCGAATTCTGCTTGGCAGTAAAGATTGGAAGACGAATGTTTGTGGTTCTACTTGTTTCATGTTCAATGTCTATTAGTTCATTGAAATGCTCTTGAATCGTTCCTTTTTCAGGAATCAAACCAAACCAATCACAAAAATTGCAAGTGCCCCATTTGAACAATTGAAACACTGGATATGAAACAAGTGGAATCATGAGCAGTCTCCATTAAACCATAACCATCAAGCAGAAGTGACGGCGGGATTGGAGAACACCTTGCAGTATGGATGGGGCACTTGTAATTTCCGTGACCCGTCGCGCAAATCGCGAAAATCGCGCAAATCGCGAAAATCGCGCAAATCGCGGAAATCGTCGTAAGAAATGACATTACGACACATGGACTTCATATGAGTTTACTCTTCAAGGAAAGTCAAAAGCAAGAATTTGGTAATGCTTACACCCGCATATTTCTCGTATACAACAGAGGATAGACTTCAATGGCTCTGGGTTTTCAACACATTGACGACAAGCGCGGGAAATATATATCCCGCGCATTGCAGGCCATGTCGGACCGTGCGGGATATATATCCCCCGCACCCATTACACTCATTTTTTTCGCGCACGCCTGATTCTTTCCAGAAGTTTTTGTTCTCAATCATAAGAACACATATTAATATAACTATAAATTTTACGGTCCACGAAATGCTTAAGTTTAGCATAGATTTTCCAAAGCATAGTGGTCCATGGAATGGTTAAATATGCTTCAATATAACAAAGGTTTCCAAACTCGTGAACTTCTTAATTCAGCTCAAACTCACACTAACTTTTAAGAAAGAAGTAAAATTGTGAATGGCATTCCAATTTTTGGCCAAAACTTTGTGAACAATAATTTTGTCAACTTGTAAGAAGTCCAACTATTATAGTAGAATAGAGAAAATACGAACCCTCTTTCAATATCATCCATTTTGTATCCCTAAATAGGCATCTGAATCGGAACTGCTGTCGGAGGAGCCACTTTGTTTGCGATTATGAATAAACCGATTTACTTAGTCACCGCTCTCTCAAGTTGTTTATATTAAGCTTCCAAAAACGTGTCTTATTGGACCGTGCGGGGATCGATGATATCTCGAAGTCTGATTGGGCGTGTCACCGGAAATGACGTGGCAGCCACCGCACTTGATAGAAGTTGCGCGGATAAGCTGCTTCCAACACGCTTTGCTGATATCTGGCGGAGTATTTTATCCACAACATCTATCAAGTGCGGTGGCTGCCACGTCATTTCCGGTGACACGCCCAATCAGACTTCGAGATATCAACTGTATCGCCCTGCACGGTCCAAAAAGACGCGTTTTTTGATGCTCAGAAATATAAACAACTTGAAAGGGCGGTAAATAAGTAAATTGATTTATATAAAATCACAGAAAAAGTGGCTCCTCCGATAGGAGTTCCGATTGAGTAGATGCCTATTTAGGGATACAGAATGGATGATATTAAAAAAGGGTTCGTATTGTTTATTCTACTCTCAAGATTTCGACTGTATGTATACCGCGACCACTGCGGTGACAAAACTGCGTCGTACCACATGGCCAAAAACACCAAAACTCGCTTTGTCGTTATTGTTTTGCAAATAAACAGGTCTCGTCACCCGCTCTAAAGCTCTTTTCACTAAGAATGAGGAACGGTCCACGCATGCGGGAGCATTACTACAAAAGGAACAGCTGTAAGTCATTCATATGGACTTGTCAGTCAGCTCGAAATCCGCTTTAATCATGCTCCGGATGTTTTCATAACACGAGGGCGATAGGTTATATGAGATGCCGAACAAATCTATTTGAATTCCAGACTTCTTCATTTCAAATACCTATTTTTAGGCCTAACGATACATTACCAGTACAAATTTCACAGGCTAACATCCAAAAGTACTAATAAACAAACGTAAAGAAATGTTCAGGTGACGGTTGTTATCTCTGGGTTACAGTTTCTTCCTCGCTTTTTCAGCGCATAGATACAGAATTTGGCGGCAGTTCTGGGTTTCAATCCCATCATCCATCCCGGTGTGCGTTTCGGAGGTCCTTTGGAAAACTGGCAGCCCATTTCAGAATTGGAGGAATTGATATAAGCGAGCTCTCAAGACTTGTTCATTAGGTTGCAACCCCTCTCACATGATTATGGTATCAGAATCAGGAGAATTAGGATGCATTTCCCGCAAATTTAAAAAGGGCACGTTAACTTAGCAACGCGAGAACTCCTTGTATTGTGATAATGTTACGACTTTTTTTGTTAGCGAGTTTTTTGCATCGACATTGAAATTTCAAAAGCGGTTCGAGAGATCTCGAAAAAGGGAAGCATTGCGATCGCGTCTCAGCAAAGATGCTCGATGAGTAGTGGCTATGACCGACATAAGTGGTTTTTGAATTGCTAACGACTATAAGCAACTGCTAACATTCTTGCGCTAATCAACTACAGTGGCTGAGTTGAAAAATCGAATATGCAAATGCGTGAAACAGGAAAAACCGCAATCTCCACCTTCCTTTCTATTTCCAAAATGCTAAAAGGTAAGAAAGGGGAGAACAACGAAGAAAAAGCATCATTTTACTACAAAAAGAAAACGAAACGCATCTAACAAATACAGAAAAAGAAGTAAAAACAAATTAATGGATAAAAGAGAAACTTACTCCATGAAGCTTGACGCCGGTGTCCTTGCATTTTGGCACTGATCCGCGCTTCTTCAAGTACTGGTAAATCAGCCTACCGCCAGGAGTTTTCACGATTTTACATTTATTCGACTTAGTGTTGTATGACAACCTACGTCTATAAGTGACGCGCTGAGCCATATTACCTGAATAAAAAAGGATAAGTTCAAATGAAAAACAAGCGGAATCGAAAGGAACATCGTCAGAACAATTCCTGAGACCACTCCATTGATAAGAAATGCAACAACTCATCCACATAATCTTACACATGGGTCTCTTATGATTAGTGAACTGATAAAAGTTTAACAAACAAAAGAAATTATATAAAACAAAAATAAAAGAAATTTTAGGCTCTCAACGAAGTTCCGCCATGTGGAGATTACGGTAGACACGGCTTGCGTACACTTTGCGCGCCAATTTAAACGGGGTAATTCTCGGAGATCAATATGCAGCCGGGTGGCCATTTAGTTTCGAGTGGGATCGATCCAAGTTGGTGTTATTTGTTTCCTGTGCTGTCGTGATTTAAAACATAGACTTTATAGAGGCATATCTACTGCAGAAGAATCAACTGCTTCAGAGGCTTCTACTGTTTGGTTGCAACGGCCAGAAATTTTTACGTGATGAAGATGTTCTCGCCAGTGTACATTCCGTTCCTACTTTGCCTGATAACTTCTTGATTTCATATTGAGCTGCAATGAATGCTCATTAAGTCAATGACGCATATCTGTGTTCACTAAAATACGCGAAAAGGGATGGAGTGGTCGGAGCTCTTGTAATTAACTCATGACCTTTTAGGCATTTTTAATGATTATTTCAATTTTTTTTCATGGTTAAGACGCGGTACAAGCCGTTGCAATGCGGCCTCAACACGTGCATTAAGCATGTCTGGCAGCCTTAGTTTACTTTGTGTACATAACTTCTTTTATCGAAGCTTTTTTGCTTTGGAAACGATATTCTTCGATGTTTGTGCTGGCGTGCACTCCATTTCATAGCAAAATACTCCGTTAGGTCTCTGAAGCTGTTATCCGCAGCTCCAAGCTTCTCTGAAAAGTTAGGGTTCATTTCTACGAATTCTGAATGACTTACGACATTAAAGGACGAATTCACGATGAAAAAGCAACCCATTTCAAATTAACCTAGGGATGGTGAGTGGTACACGAAAGAAGGAAGAACCATGAGAAACGGCCCAGAACCCGAGAAATGGTACCCCTTCCTTGCCCGTTGATTCGAGCATTGATGCGACTCTCATCGCTGTGCCCTCTTCAACACTACGCTCTCTCAGCTATCTAATCACTCGCCACGTATTGAACTACGGCGAGTGATCAGATGATCGGTGGGCGGAGATCGCCGGAACCCGCCCAGCTTTGAGGCACGTAAGGTCAACCACGCCTTTTGGACGTTCGGCTGGACCTTGTGCTGAATGTTGCGCGGAGGGGATGGGGTCGCCCAAACGTCGACGGTTACTTCAACCTAAAGATTGGTGAAGCGCAACAACTAGGAGAGTATCTGGACGGCAAGTGGTGCAAGCTGGTCCTAGCAGCTCCGCCAGAAGGGCTGGTTTGCTCACCCCAGGACTAAGCCTTGGAGAGGGGACGGACCCGTTCTCTCTTTAAGGCTTAGTTCTGAGGTAAGCACCAAATTGTGGCGGTTCTAAGGACCGAGTTGAAGTGGTCCGTCCACCGTCGGGGACTCCATCCCCTCCCCAACATTCAGCATACGGTCCCAGCCGAAGCGCCAAAAGGGCTGGTTTGCTTACGTCCGGCACGATAGGTCGCCGAGGTCAAATTTTTCCATGCAAATTGCGCGTCAGTTCGCACCCTCAGGAGGTCCGTGGGTCCCTCAACTAAGGTCAGTTTCCCTTTCTTCGACCTTCGTTCTAATCGTAAAATCCTCCTTTAAGTAGCTAGTTGTTATTTTATAGAATTTGGGAAAGAATTACCATACGTAGGCAAAATTCCTCAAAAATGATTTGTTATTCTTATTCAATATTGTATAACAATGGAGTGATGGCGGGCTAACAAATAGCGTCGACATACGCGTGCACCACAGGGTATGCACGCCCCGACTTTTCGCCCGACACTTTTTGCAATTTATACGCTTTTCGTTCCCCGGTTTCCGAACACCTTTTATCTTCAACAAACCCTTCGCGGGTCTGTCCAGTCCCAGGTCCCCTGGACGCAGGTTTTCCACAAAGCTGCGGTAACTCCGGGCCACCAGGGAGTGCAGCAGTCTAGGGGATGGAAGCATCAGCCGAGCGAGTCACTTGACTGTGCAAAGCTGGAATGTTCGGCCGTAATTACACTAGTCTCCGGCCCCCCCCCCCCAACAGCCAATCTAGGCCATCCTCCCTGATGCCCCCCCCCCCCTCCCCCCTCACCAGAATACGACGCACAATGTCCCTATTCACTCACCCCCCTCTCTTCCAGAGGCAATGTGAAATTTGTCTGCCACACATTTTTATCTCCACCTTCCCAGAGCAAATGCTGATTTGTCCTGAAATCTTTTATTCCCCCTCTTCACTTTTTTCCTTTTGATTTCTTCTTAATTCCTCCCACCACCATATTTCTGTAACAGATCAATGAAGGCATTGAGGAAGGCAAAATCTTCACCCATTAGGGGCCAAGTGGTTTACTCCATACATAAACCCAATACCACAAATGCCCACCCCCACTTACCCCCCGCCCGCTCCTCCACGTGCATCACCAGGAGGGCAACGCGCCGTGCACTATGCGTGGTCGACTATACTATGGCACGATCCTTCGCCTAAGCTTCCAACACCCACACCTTATTTGTGAATATTTCAAGACGGCAAGCGGCCTGACAATTAGAAGTATGTACCAGCCCCGTCTACCAAAAGTCGCCCGCGTTAGACTGCTTCGCGATCTCCTAGAAAGAGGGGACTGTGACTTGAAAAAATTCGTCGAGTGCTAATCTGATCTCGACCTCACTTCCACACTTTTTCCGAGTGGAAGCACTGGAGGTGGCTAAAGAAGCAGTAATCTGGCTGGGCGAGCGTAGAATTGTAGGAGACCTGAGGATCACCGGCTTTTAAAGTGATGGGTCTTTTTCCCACTTTTCTTCACCATTAAGCATCGTTCTTGTTATGGGGGAATAGGGCCGAATGGAACAATTTCTCTCAAAATTTAAATAATTAAAATAAATTAATTTATCTTGAAATTGGATGTTGTTCTGGATTTTACTATGTGGCGCAGCCGTAGAGAGTTTCCGTACCGTTCGAATACGCTTCCACCATGAGCAGTTTTCCCTATCTGCTTCAAGATGGTCAGTAGGGTTAGACTTCCGTAGACTACTGAAGACAATGACCAGCTTCGGTTCCACAATTCCTTAACTAGATCTAGTGCGCATTCAAGTACCTTTACGATTCTCAAAGGAAGTCATGTGCATGGCGTATCTTCGGAATGGTGATGACGGCCGACTATTTTACCTCTGGTTCTTTCTCTTACATACCTTTCTTCGCTTTTTTCCATCAAACGGTCTGTCGCGCCTTTTTGTCGAATTTGTTCTGCGTGATAAATAGACATGGATGAGTGCTTCCGAATTGGATCGATTCACTGAAAAAAGCAATGCGACATTTTCGGCCATGCTCGGACAATTCATTGAATCGATTTGGTCGTTTTAACTGCCCGTCGAATTAGCTGACAGGCCCATGTGCTGTTGTTGCAAAGAGACCGAACGCCTAGCCCTTGCTAATCTGCTCCCACTCTTTCCAGACCAGCACATCCTTTTTTTCCCGAAAGACTCACTGTTCCACTGCTATGCTGCCTGGCTGCTATTCAAAAGGTCTCCAGCCCTGTTTCTGACAGCTCATCTATCTTAATCGTTGAATTCCATTCGTTTCGTTACATGAACATTCTCATGTACTGCTCGGCTTGACGCCCTAACATTAACAAGGATGGTCTTTCAAGACATGGAGCGTTTTTTCAAAATGGTTTTCTGAATGTTGTAGGGGCTCATGTGAGGAACACAGAACCATGGTCCATTTTTCCTGAACGCCCCCAGGAATGTCAAAACAGCGGGGAAGAAATGGTCCAAAGTTCGATCCTCCGTGATGACAAATTTTTGCAATTATGTTGGCGCCTCCAAATTGCCGCAAAACACGACAATGACATCTATTCTCGACGATGGCGCCATTTGGCGGCAATCTGGGGGCGCCAAACTATATTGCAAAAATTAGTCATCACCGGGGATCGAACTCTGGACCATTTCTTCACCACTGTTTTGACATTCCTGGAGGCGTTCAGAAAAAGACCATGGTTCTGCGTTCTTCGCATGAGCCTCTACACTATGCAAGAAACCGTTTTGAAAAAGCGCGGCTTGTCCTTGAAAGGCCTCCCGGGTGCTATCTTAGTTGGGGGGGGGGCACGCGGCGGCGCGGCGCTCTGTTCGTCTCCTCCTCAAAAGGCTTAGTCCCAGGGGCAGTTACGGTGCTATACAAGTAATGTCGCCGCATTTTTTGAACAGAAAAGTATGTCAGTAGGACTGTTGCCCGCTGCTGTACTGTCACCAGAATCGGGGAAATCGTGAGCATCTAGCGGCGTGGGGGCGTTAGGGAGCCATTGACAGGGAGTTGAAAAGCGCTATGGACTGCCCATCCCCACTTGGGGCAGCGCAGCCGCGACCGCCGCGTAGCCCCCCCCCTAAACTAGGGTAGCACCGGCCTCCCTTGCTTAAGCTCTGATTCGAGGGGTGGAGAGCATATACTTACTTATTTGTGCTATATAAGCCAGGCTGAAATGCTAAAGAAACAACCATGATGGCAAGGGTGTGGCGGTCGAGGGAGGAGGGTCGTATTGGGCAGCCTTCTGAGGCTGATGATGATGGAGAGGGAGTATCAAGACCCCCTAAAGGGGAATCCCAAATTTTTGAAAAAGTGCTAACGTGATCCACGACACGGACTTGATCCGAATTTACTTCTCTAAACGTGGTTTTTACGAACTGCCCGTAATCGTCCTGAATCTATCTGCTTCACAGAACCTCTCTTGTCCAAATAGTAAAGAGAAACTCATCATTTAAACTACACTTTTCTTGATGTTGGGATTAGAAAGATGGTGTGGAGTGATTATGTAAGCTCAGTCTTATCACGATTTAGATACTATTTGCCGAAACCAGTTACCATTTTT